TCAGATTTCACAAGTAACAATAGCAGTGAAAACAAAACTTTTTAAAATCTTCAAAAACTCATCAATGAAGCCAAGTTGAGATTAGAAAACACCACGGAGTTACAAATAGGAGAATAAAGAAGACCTAGATGAGGAGAGGGCCAAAAAAAAATCAGAAAACCCGGAATACATCTATCATGATCCCTTCATTAGTAGCTACTGATAAAGTGATTCGTAACATAATTACGAAGTGGTTCGTAAACGTTGTGACGAATATCTTCAATGACAGGAAAAGAAACTATTCTGGTGTCGCTCTGAAAAAAAATTCATCATTAAATGAAGGTTTTCAACGTCAAATGACTATTCATATTTGATGAGTTTCTTCCAAATATATTAATATTATTGTTTTTATAAAAAATTCATAAGCAAAAGCCAAAAAAAAAAAAATTATTTTGTGTGATCAATATAAGTATTGTGAGAGAACAAAAAAAAACTAACTTCAAATAGGGCAACGGCAACGGCTAGAAATATAAGCACCACAAGCAGGGAATTGAACAGATATTTGGCCACACTACTGGACCCCGGAACAACATTTTTACCAACGGTCTTCTGCTGCTGGGCAGAAAGCTCTGTATCGGTCGTAACTATAACGGGAGTAACCGCAGCCGTAACTGGTTCAACCTCCTTTTTGACATTCACTGATTCGTCAACCTCTTCAGGCAGACTGCTGCTTGATGAGACGTCCTGAGTTTTTGGCGTACTAGCGCAAATTGGCTTCAAATCCGGTTCTGCTGTATGAGTTGAATCTTTTGCTTCTATCTCACTTGTCGTTTTCTCTCTCGGTTCGCTCTGAAGAATATCTGATTAAAAGAAAAAAATTTTCACTCAGTTTTTCACACAGCACTACAATAAATCAACAAATTATTTTAATAGCGTTGTTTAGTGCGAAAAAAAAGATAAAGTAAAAATGGTAATAACAGCCACATTTAAAGAAGGAAATAAAAAACATTGAATTCAGCAGAAGAAAATTTAACAGAAAAAGGACTGTCAGAAGAATAGAAAGAAGACAAATATGTAAAGTATAAGACGTTAATTCATAAGTACACTATTCCATAACATTTAAGCTTAAGGTCTGGAAAAAAGTTTGAAAATTCGTACCGACACTGAGGGTAAAGGATCCCTTCGACAAAGATGTATAGTAAACGTGGTCTGAAATGCAAGCTGAAAGAATGACAAAAATTTCCTTTGAGCTTGCCTTAGACTAGGCACTAAAAAAATCCCAACAATCTAATCTTTTTCCAACATGCATTCGTGCTAATCCTCCCACCGAAAAAAAAAAAAGAAAAAGAAAGAAACAGAACATATCGAAACAAAACGAAGCGAAACATAAAAAACGCAACAAACAAAACAAAAGAAAGCGATAGTTGAACAATTGTAGATTAAACATAAAAAATAAAGATGGAACACTAACCACTCTTTCTGAGGGAGAGTCTCCGGCAGGAGATGGAACAACATTCTCTTGAGTTTCGGCTGTTTCTTCCACTATTCTATTTTCGTCTTCTTCATGAGGAATTTCCCAAACGTGTGTCTTCTCCATCGTAGACCCACCCTCTAAGATAGCTGAAATTACTTCCAGTCACTTTGTTCACACTCAGTACATGAAATTATCTTTGATAAATTGATAATTTCAGAGCCAAAAACCTACTCGAATTTGCCGTATCGTTTAGATGCATTGGGGGTAACGTTTTGCATTCCCGCACTAAGTGTCGCGGCTGCTGTTTGGGTAGGGCATAACGAACTACCTGTGGTAAAGGACCATTCCGTACAAAGGGTTTCTGCAGCTCAATTTCATGCAGAACCCTGGTGTTTGGATAACGGAAAGATGAACCCCTTGAAAATATGGGAATACGAGGTCTGAAAATGCAAGCTTTAAACGGTCATCCTTTCAAAAGAACAGCAATTGACTACACTACAATACAGTGCTTTTTATGATTCTGTAAGAAGAAACTGCATGCATAAATGAATAAATAAAAAATTTTCAGATGCCTTCTTTTTCCTTTTTTCTTCTCTCACTGTTTATCCAAAAAAAAATTCTTGACTTTTTACGTAACTCTTACTTTGAAAATTTGGTCTTTATTTTTTTCGCTTCACTTTCAGTGAAGAAAGCTTGCTGAGAAAGTATATGCCTCCACAAATGCTTTGCAAAAGTTCCTGATGGACATTTGAATTTTAATGGAGTGGGTTTCTGTGAAGACGAAGATGCATGACCCTAAAAAGTAACAACAATTTTAATGCATCTATTATACAGAGAGAGGAAAAGACGTTACGAAGTTGAAACAAAAAACGTGCATACTGTATGAAGAAATTTTCAGGCATTAATCCTAATATAAAGTTACGGGGACACAAAAAAACTATGAACTAACATTGGACAAATTGGAAGCGACCGCAACATAGCGAGATACATAGCCCTGAGCCGGAGTAATTATGAGCTCTTTGCCCAGAAAATTGACATTATCCAATTGATCCCTTCAATAAATGCCAATAAAATGATTACTGTTTGTTCAAACCTCACCATAAAAAACTTCGAAATTAATTTCGTTAAAAAATTAATAACTGCGCTATACTTCTTTAACAGATTTGCATTAAAAAAAAACTTTTTGGAAACATCAGTGAAATATCACTGTTCTGACTGACTGAAAACATCATTTATATTCCAGGTATTTACACAGTAAGTTAAAAAATCGAAGTGTTTCAGTCTTCTGTTTTTCCTCTACTTTACGAGACCACAAAAACCAAAAGATACCAAGAAATGTGATGAACCATCCGATTAGTTTGATATACAAATAAACCTTTGTGTGTAACACCAACATAAACCATTTGCCCTTGTTTATCCTAAATTAATAACAGTTAAAGAAACAACAAAAAAAAAACATTCAGCAGCAGAATCTAACATCAAAAACAGTTTGTTGCCATAAACCAAGGTTACGGCACCACAACTACTAAATGACAGCCATAATAAAGTTTTTACTGCCATTGTAAAACGTATAAGTTTGCTAACCGTTACTGTATATGGATCAAAACCATAAGTATCCAATTTCGATGCTCTTTGCAAAAATTCCATTTCAGCTTCTGCAGGTGTTAAGCCTCTACAAATATAGCTATTAAGTTAAACTGATAAGTATGACTAAAAAAAACATCGACAACAACAAACCACAAAAATGCTCTTTTCAAAATATCCACTGAACAAAAACAGCGAACAATACAAAAATTTAATTTTTCTAGGAATAATTGAAAGAAAGTTAGGAAAAGTAAACTGAACTAACTTGAACGATTTATGTGCTTCAGCAATTTTTTCTTCAATCTTAGCTGTTTGTTTTAACAAGAGTTTATACTCCGAGACATAATCTTCAGCTCTTTCTTCCTGGTCGTAATCCCCCAACATTGCTGTTTAAACATAAATAGTCAGTTTAAAATTTGCAGATATATGCCAGGTCATTTGAACATTCAAACTAGCAAGATAAGAGAAGAAGAACTTTCAATGGATTTCAAAAAATCCAAAACCAGTAACTTACATTGAAGGATCAAGCCGCCCAGTATCGCTGCTTCATTTTGTGGGCAGTACAAACGTCCATGAAGAAGATCTCTTTGCAGCTGTACAAAAAGTTGATATCTAGAAATTAGTAACATTTATAAACCGCTGTCATCTGTAGACAGAACTTAATTTGCATAAAATTTATGCGATATTTACCGTGTAATTTCCTCTTGCAAGACATTGACATTTGCTGGATAAAATCGTACGCGAAAACGTAGACCTAGGTTTGGTCCTAAGAACCGATTGTTAATTGCGTAAACAAGAAAAAGATATTATTTAAAAAAAAAAAATGCTGAAAAGAAAACAATTATTTATTTACAAGTAAAAACTTTATTTTTCTTGATAAATTTCACCTCGTATCTGCTTTGTCACAGGTTTATTCAGGTCCACCCAGTACTGAAAATATGTTATTTTACAAACATACATTAAAGGAAACTAAACAGCAATAAAGAACACTCTGCATCAATTTATAACATAACAAATTGTAAGGCAAAAAAAATGAATAGAATTTGAGTTATCATTTAATAATTTTAAAAAATGAATTAAAAGTTGATAAGCTATCAAAAAAAAAAAAAAAAAAAAA